TATTATCACTATGTAACCTTTAGATTTTAGAAACTTTAGATATAGGTCAAAGATGATTCAGTTTAGATGTGTGAGGGAGGCCTCTGAAGGAGAAAAAATGTGATTGTCTAGAGCAAAATGGAACTGGGAAACCAGTTTATGTGGATTCTGATTTTATATCAACTTGGGATTTCTTAAAGGAGGGTTTTAGGGCAAGTGATTCTCTACAAGTCTTCTGGCAGAAGAAAGTTGCACTTGGTGGACTTTTGAAGATCTTGCCAAGAAAACGATGTCTGTGGTATTGTTTTTGGTTTTTTGTACAATTTAGGAAGCATAAAGTATTGAGAAGTAAAAGAAATTCTCTTATGATATTTCCAAGGACCCCAGAGAAAAGCTATGAAAGTTCTCTTTTGACCTCAGGAAGCCTGTGCTGATCGTACCCCTTATTTCCAGGGCCCCCGGTCCTTACTACCAGAAGTTTTATGGAGAGAAGCAGTGAGTCCATTGGAACGCGCTGCTGTCCTCAAGCTCTCCTGCAGCAGGTGTGGCCATGCTCAGAAAGTAGACGGACAGGGCAGGCGGGGTTCTTGGAACACTTGTTGAAAATCATGTCTCTGGCATTTTGTCTTACCATTCTCCGTTCCTTTTTTCTGAAATACAGATACCGAGGTGAAGGACAAATAAGGGGAAAAGTCGCTAGAAGACTACTAAAAAGGTAGTCCTAAAAAGTAAACTAAAATTTCTACTAAAAAATAAAACAACCACCAAAAAAAGGTATTTAAGCTCTGAATGATCCATTTCTAATTGCAGCAGAAAAATAAACTCTTATCTCCTAAAACTACCATAATCAGTCTCTCTTTTCTTGTAGATGAATCCAATTTCTAAACTGATTTGGATAAGGGGACCAAATATCCAGAAACAAATCATTAAAGAAAGGGAATACAAAGCCAAGATTGTAGTCAAAAGACAAACATGCACTTCTAAAACCAAAACCAAAACCGAGGTTAGGCTAAATAGAAACCAGTTTTAAAAATGCCTCAAAAGCAAGTTTCAAATTTATCTCCCTAACTGAGGAAGCTATGGTATTAATACTTACTACAGGAAAACCTACATGTAAGGGAAAGTTGGAAGAACACCTGTAAGACTGAAAGGACGTGTATATTCAGTTGACTCTGTTAACATGGAGACATACATACTTCATCGAGAAGGAGACTTCCTTTATAGCTGAAGGAGCTGAATAGTTTTTCTTTAAGTAGTAAATCTCCTTTAAATAAATTACAAAGAGAGGAACATCTTTTATGCATATATCCATAATAATTTGTAGGAATTTCTTTGTATAGTCCAAAGTTCAATGTAGGATCATTTTCTTTCTGCCCTGAAGCAAATAAAATAGTAGTTCTTGCAGTTCAGATCTAGTACTCATAATTCTTTCCATTTTTGTGCAAAAATATTTTACCTTCATTCTTGAAAACTACGTTCCCTAGATATGGAATTCTAAATGGGATATTTTACTTTAAATATCCTTTAGTGTTTTAAATGTTATCCCATTCCTTATCTTTTCTTCCCCTCCTAATTCAGCTTATCTGTTCTCTTTTCCCATAAAAGACTTTAGATAGTTTTACCTTTATTATACAAATGATGGACTTCTCAGTACTATTCCACACATCACCAAAAAACTTTTTCTTTCATTCTTTAAAGTT